AGCACGTCGATGAACGCAGAACATATTGCAATATTTTGTGCTTGCTGTTGCTCTGTTATTTCTCTTAATTAAGAAAAGCAAAATTAACAAGACTTGTAGCAATTGCATGCACGAATAATGCAAGGGGTGCGCAGTGCACGCAACGCAACTTGCGTTACGCAAGGGGTGGTCTTTTGCGTAACGGAGTTGAAGCGGCTGCCGAGTCTGTCGCGCACACCTCAAAGCTGGATGATCTCCGGAAGCGTACTTGCAAATTCGTTAAAGAAGTTCGAAAGGCTCATTTGTGGTGTACAAGGTGCTCACATCACGCTGATGCGGAGGAGGAAACGAAATCTATCTGAAACCGCCAGTTCCAGACAAGAGGAAGTCCAATTATCGACTGGGGACGACCAGCCCCTTGAAAAAGAAGGTTGTTGGTGCGCCCCGCCAAAGCGCGACCAGGACAGCGCCGTCTTGCAGCTGAAAACGCGCAGCGCAGATTCGAAATATGTGGCCGTCACTTGGCTGCGGAAGGTAGCCATTCGCCAATAGTGGCGAGACTTCGCAATGTTTTCCACTGCCCCATCGTAAATCACGGCCGCGGCGTTGACGACCAAACTTGTTTTCCACTGGCTCGTTGGTAGTCCAGAATTCGGTAGAATCAGCAGTGCGGAGAGCATGACGCTGCCATGCATAATGTAAACACAGGTGTTGAGACTATCGTGATGACAGCGAAACGGGATGGCGGTTGCCTCCCTGCGCTAGTGCCAAGACATGCCAGAGAACGGCTGTGCCAGGCGTTACATAATTTGCGCGTAACTGTTGCACGCACGTTGTCTTTCAGCCGAAGCAAATCGAGGACATCAACTCAACTTTGGGCGCCTCTGGTGCGCATGAACGCCTCGTAACTTTCTTCCATCTTAAAATGATGATTTCCTGGCAAACACGAGCAGAAGTCGGCAACGACCCTCAATCGAATTATGCCAAGAAGCGCATTTAGGAACTCGTATATTAGCACAAGAGCGCATCAGACCCATTTCCCAATGCGGATGCATGATTAGAAGCGTGCATCTGGTAGAACTACCGGACGTTCGCAGCGACGCGGTCGCAACCAAAGGCCTCACGGATTGTTGTGCCATGACTTGTTGTCTCATGCGCTGTTTCATCTATATGAATGAGAGCGACCGAAAAAGCGTTTCTCCTTTCTTTCGGGGTTCTGGGGTTGTGTGGCCATGGGACCATAATAGTCAATTTCGAACAAACACTCTGCTTGGCTTTCACGCCCATCATCGCCTGTCAGGTGCAAGGGCTGTGTTTCTCCACTGCATGGCAAATGTAATCGACGGATTTTGACTTGTTGTCTGGTCGCTCCGAGGAGGCAGCGATGGTGGCTGCGATTTGCACGGCTCAGCCGACGGCTTGGAGGCGGTTGGGGAGTGCCGGCTGCGGCTGTTGACAATGTTGGAAGGAAACCATCGGGAAGTCACTCCCCGTCTTGAATTCCTTCCTGTTCCAAGGCTGTTCGATGAGAGTGGCCTTCGAATGGCACTCTTGGATCACAGGTAAAAGCTGCAACTTCATTGTAGCTGGCAAAAATACGTCCCTAAAAAGAGATTTGAGCGCTCTAAGGTTATGCAATTCGGACCAATTGTCGACGGGGTTTGAATCCACAATTACTAGTGATTAACAAAAGTGCATGATTCCTAGCAATCACCGCGATTTACGCATCAGTATTTAAGAAACAACAAATATGAATCCTTAGTATTTAGAAACTGATAAGAACTCAAAATTCTTCTTGGTTTTTGTCATAATTTACATCTGTGCGCGGTTGAATGTTTGTTAGGCTGTTGTTGCGAAGCTGTACTCCAGCGCAGCTGAATAGGAATCAGCGTTAAATTTTGTAAAGTAGGTTGCCCTCATCAAATTTCGATGAGGGTAAACTGCTTTATCGGGCACACGAGGCAGTCAGTACAGCAATCCAATAAATGTCCAGGCGACCCAGAAATCAGAGGGCGGGAATACCCTTGTAAAGAGATGAAGGCCTGCCCCGTTTGGCACTCAAGCTTCAATTGGGTGTTTTGAAAAAATTTAATGGCACGTTGAGTGTGTATTATGGAAGTGGTGTCGAGCATGCCTTTGATGACCAGGATAGAGCTTTGACTGGATTCCGTCAAAGGCAATGACTGATTGTTTCTTTGGACCCCAGGCATCCCCGCACCGCCCTCGCCACCGCAGAGGCAACGGTCAGGATACGCGAACAAATCGTTAAGGAGAACGGAGAGCAGTCCGCAGAATGACAAGAAGACCGATTGCCGTGACAAGGATGGTCTAGGGAATGACTACACGCATCGTTTCTGTGGAAAACTATATGCTGCAGAATGAATCGATGCTTAGGGTTGGTCTAGCTCTCGTTGAGCTCAATCAATGCGCGTCAAGTTTCCTAACGTTCTGCAACAGCTTCGGCAAGGTCGACTAAAGGAGATGAATGCCCAATGGTGTTGAAAAAAGACCCGAAAGGCTTGTTTATTGAGTGTTTTCACTGTTCTAAATTGGATGCAACTTAAAGCTGTATCCAAAGAGCTTCCCATTCCAACGCAGAGAAAGCATTGCGCCGTGGGGGAGTTGATTGTATTGTATTTCCCGCGGAAATGCACAGCAGTGCCCTTGGGCCTTGCTGCCCGTGTCGGGGATTTCGTACCCAAAATATGTGTTTTTCTTTGCTCACATCGCAGCGCTCCACAGCAATCAAAAGGTAGTCAAATCTATGGAAAATGAATTGGTCTATCATGAGGGAAAATCTAATGAACGACTACAATAAATGGGATCAACTGAAGGAAAGGACAACCGACGAAGGAGAGAATGACAAAGATAGGCAAGGATATGAAGAGAAGGGAAAGAAAAGGGAATGGACGTGTTCATCTTTTGACAAAATTTGCATCTCCTCTGTGTTGTCTGATGGCTCGCTCGGTGTCAGGAGTGTTTGGAAATGGCGAGTTGACTTCTGATCCATATGTGGTGGAAAGCGATACGTGGCTACCAGTGAATATCACATTTTGTTGCATTTACCTGGCGTACAGTGTAGGTGCCACCTGCACGTCGCCGGCAACGTGCCAATCTAAACACTTTTTGTTTACGATGTAAATTGTTCAACAAATAGTTCACCACTAAATGTGATTCGTTCCCATCGTCTCCTGACTTGAGGAAACTTGAGGGTTGCAGTATCCAATTCAGATGTCAATGATGGAATATCGGCCTCAACGATATTGAGGATCGAAATTCGGATCGCAGCGCACTTGCACTCCACAGGACGGGTTCAGGAACCACACAAAGAAGATCATGGCACTTGCCAAGTATCCACTAAACACAAAGAGACCACATGAAACGTGTTTCAGATGGCTCGTGTGCACCGTAACCGACGCTGTTGATTGACCGATACGCAGAACAAGGTATTTGTAGCCGGTTTGCAAGGCAACATTTGAAACTACCTTTCAAAGGTATAATCAAAAAGGTGTCCACTTTACTGCGCCTCAATGCGATATCCCTACTGTGCTGATCGCCGTTGATTGGCGTCTTCTTATATTAAGCACTCCTGAACACTGCATGATGACAATGATGTATGCGGCACGCTGTCGTCGTGAGAACGGGTAATGGCGCGAAAGTGCTGATGCACATTCCATTCTGACAGCTACTGGCATAAGTGAACTGAACATGGAACCTTCAGTGTCTTTTCGTTGGAAAAAGACAATTTTTGAACTCACATTGAGAAATCCGCATTCGCATCAGGAAATCATCATGTTGAATTCTGTGTACTTGCAGGATCGTGGCCCTCTAGTGCTTCCTCAGTGTGCGGAAGCTCGAGAAGGATGTGCGGTGTAAATTGTGCAGCAAACGATTGTGCCGCAACGCGCAATACAACAACTACTGTATGCTAGTGCGTAATTACATGCGTCTGTATAGCATCACAACACCTTGTAAGTTGGGACACACACCCCTAATGACCAAACGTGTGGTTTGGGAATCAAACATGCACATGTCGGCTCATGTAGTCATATTGTGTTAAACTTTAGGTTTCGCTAGATAATGGCTAATGAAAGAAAGCAGCCACAGACTTGATGACAGGATTCGAAGCCTTCACCATTCAACTTGAAGGTTGGTGACTAAACATTCTGCAGTGTGAGATTTGAAGAATTATTTTCAAGTTGAAGTGTCCTCTTGAATGCTGCTTTTGAAGCCAAAAGAAGCAGGTCAGCGACCATTTGTATGACATACAAACAAAACCCCTTCCTGAGCAATTGTGTGTGGGATATTATTCCACACTGTGAAAAGGTGACGCCAAGCCCCCAAGGGCGAGAAGATCAGTACTTGGGGAGCGGGTCCAAACCCAATGTCAATTTGACCCATCGCAACGTTCGGCAGACGCACAGACCATCGTGATTAATTGTACCACCTCAACATTATCCATTTTACATAACAAGGCAAGGAGGTAGCCGTTAGCTTCCTGTCTTTCCAAACGAAATAATGTACGTCATTTGTTGACTGAAACCTGTTGCACAGCAGAAACACAGTCCAGAAAATCCATCATTGATGGACAGTAATAATTGAGAACTCCCAGTTTTAAAGAAGCGTCTCTCGATGACAGTACATGGAAAGAAGTGTCCTCGCAGTTGGCGAGCGGGGACTGAAACAAGCAGAGTCTCTTGCACCCCGATGCCGATGTGGACTTGACTGACTTCGACGAATGTCATCGTAGTGGCGGCAGTGAAAGTGAAGAGGAAAGAGACAATTGTACTACAACCTGCCACCACGCACGGGTACCACAACCTCCATCTGTTGCCCTCAAAGGCTGACGGGGCGCGCGACCCGACGCGTCTGGGCCCGGGTCAAAGCCTCGCCAGGCGTTGTCCCCCAACGCCCCTCCACGCGCCCCACCCCCGCCCCCAGCGGCCTTGGCAGCCGACTCCAGCCCTGCCATTCGGCCAGGCGCCTGTCCGCGGCTGGGAGGGAGCGGGAGTCGGTGCCCAATGCGGGCCAGCCGCGGTTTGTCCCCGGCGCACGCCTCCCTGTCACCGTCGCCCGTGGGAGGAGTGCGCCTGGGATGCGGCGCGCTCTCTCCGGCGCATCACGCCAGGTGTGCAGCGAGCGCAGCGCGACGACGCCGTCGCCCGTCCTGGCCGCATTGGCCGTCGCTCGTGAAGTTCGTCGCTCTGCCGTGCGCCCGGCGGGCTCGGCGGGATATGGCAAGGGGAACTTAGCGGCGGTTCATCGCGCCATGTGTGCAGTGAGTGCAGCGCGATGACTCCGTCGCGCGCCCTTGCCTCATTGCCTGTCATCTATCGCGTTCGTCGAGTCCGTCGAGTTTATCGAGCTCGTCGAGTTCGTCGGGCTCGTCGCTCGCATGCGCACCCGACGGGCCCCGCAGGATACGTCATGCAGGATTTGCGGATGAGGTGATTTCAGCAAACGCTGTCGAAGTAGCTGCGTGGATGAAGTCGTGCGGGTTATGGCCATGTGTGTGCAAACGCGGTGCGCGGTGATGCTGCCGCGAATGCCGCCAAATGGATTGTCTTTTTCTCACTGTGGGCTGGCGATGGGATTCAGGGTCCATCGGCGGCAACTCGTGGGAACAGCTCCGCGCGCGCATAGCGGTGGCGAGGGGCTGTTCGGAGACGCTGAAGCAGAAGGCCCGCAGGTGGGATTTTTGTGTTTGGCTCTGTGCAGTGATTGCCTGTGGCGTGTGCTGGCCCTGGAAATTGGGACCGAGGCGCACAGCCAACTATGCAGTGAGCCCGCGTTCATCGGCTCTCTCGTGTGGGCTCACACTGGTCGTGGTGTCTTTTGTAAAAGTTGGGTGGTACTGGCGTTGTTGTTTGTGAGCCCAGCCAATCATGGCATTGAAGACGATCGAAAACGTGAACACTTTGTGAGGCTTCGTGACGTGGCGCCCTGCTCTGAATGATGGAGCTTTTACCTTCGAATCGTAGTTTTGTCCCGGAAATCCGCAATGTCTTTAGCCATCAGGGGCACCTAGGCTCCAAAAACAAGGTGCTGAAAATCCACAGTTCAGTAGAAGGACTGCACCATTAACTTGAAGAGGTCGCCCTTCACACTGCAGTAACTTGGTACACCCTCTGAAAAATGGTATTCAGGCTGTGCAGCAGCACCCAGCGGGTCTTTGCGGTCACCTCCCCTTACGGTTGGCAATGCACACAACTTACAACACACAGGCATCTTCTTACTGTGGCCTACTGAAAAAGATTTTGGTTGTTCAGCGTATTCGTTGTTGCATTGTGCTCTTGATGCACTTGAAAAAATGGGCATCATCTTGTGCAACATAAAAGAGTGGCCCAAAAGCACAGTGCTGGAGAGGGGTAATACCAATGTATGGTGCAGCTGTGTCTGTTTGTATGCCTCGCTTCTGCGACGAGCATTCATAATATTGGGCTGGCGGAGGGGGCAGGGGTGGGCGAACATGAAGGGCATGGCCTAATTGTGATTTAATTGGATTCTGGTTTGTCTTCAGTTGTCCCAGGACTGGCGAGCATTCCGTGCACAATTAGTAGCTCAGGAGAGACATACCCCTGAGGTCCTGTCAACAACTGCACCTTCCAGGGGTGGCAAGTGGGTGCATGAATTGTCAGCACCAGAAGTTGGGTGCCTCCTGGTTGCACGGTATGAGGACATGGGGATCTTCAGCAAGAGCGTGATTCTGCTGCTTGCCCACAGTAGGTGCCGAATCTTGTAACACAGGGGATGGCTTGGCTGCGATGGGCACCCTGACATCATTTTTTTCCGTGTTATCAGCAGTACATCAGGGCTCATGTATTGAGGTTGTATCCCTTGGCATGTGTTCCTATCTTGGAACGCAGCAACTGCTCAACATCAAAGGCACAAGATCTATGGACCCATGTTCTATCTCTGCTCCTCTCTGTATCTTAATAAAGATCTTTGGCCATCACTACTGGAAGCCTGGCTACTGAGTGCTGTGTTGACCTTGCGTTCTGGTGGTGATGATGGATGCACTCATTAATTGCGGTGCTTTGATGCACAATGTGGTCATCAGACAGAAAAAAGTAAGAATTTTACCTAGACACAAACTTTGCTATACTTTGACTATTATGTTGCGAATATGAGTGTAGATACAAGTATGAATGAAAATACTTGAGTGATTCAAAAGAATGAAATACAAGTATAAATGCCAATGGAAAATACAAATATAGATATAAAGGTGGAAAATGTAAATGTAAAGATGGATATAAAGATGGTAGTAGATACAGATATCAAATAGATACAAACACAAATATAAAATAGATGAAAAGATCTGGACCTGGGGATCATGAATGTCCGCAGTTCTCAACATGGGCCAAAGTGCACTGCTCAACACATTGACTTTTCTACACATTTTTTGCAGATGATGCTGAAGGGACACTTGGACTGATACTGAATCGCCCCACGCCACTGACATTAGATGGGACTCGTTTGCAAGCACCTTGGAGCAAAGGTAACCTGCGCAATGCCTGTGGAAGGATGCCTGGGCAGTTGCTGGCACACTCTATGTGAGGTGGTTGCTGTGCTTGATGCCTTGTTTGGTGGTAATGGAACTCAGTCACAGAAACACATGGCACGTAGCATTGTCTGAAAAGAGAGTGAATGCAACGGCTGGATTGAGACATTGTGTATACTGGCAGTGCCTGACAGTGTTGGCTCTGCATTGGGAGTGTGATGAGGGCAGGAAGGCCCACACTGCTTGGGCTTCCATATCAGCTTGCTTTTGAGCATTGAGTCTTGTGCGCAGACAGCGCACACAAACTGCACCAAAAAAGGCGGTGCATTACATGCAGTAATTTTGATGGTGCACACATAAGTACTGCCTCTAGGACACTACCCGTAGTATGTGGTACCTCTGTTCCAAAATAGTGTCGCATATGTAATTTGCGTGAATGGAGGTCAAAGGTGCGAGTCAGAGAAATTGACCGAAACAACTTGACACGCCATATCAAGAGCTTCCTGTAGAGCCCTTGAATGTTGCAAACGGTGCCGCTGTTCTAGTGATATGTTGAGAAGAGCTGAAACGCCACTTTTGATTTTATCGGGACTTTGAGAAGAGTATGGCGAGCTCATCTCGCCCTTTGAAGGAGGTGGATCGAGCTGAGCTGTCTCTAGGAAAGATGATTGACTGGTGGTTTGGTATACACTGAAGATTCAACTAAATTCAAAGCAGAATCTATAATGCAAACGATGCTAGTTTGCTGCAGATTTTTTGGTCGTCAACAAGAGTTGTGGGTATGTGGCCAAAGGCTAAGAGCCACCTAGATCAGTGCAAGAGCTTGATCTAGCTGATACACCAAGCTTAGGAAGGCCGTGCATGCTGACATTATCTCCAAAACGGCCTAGATTGGTGCCAATATGGCCAATCGTTGAAATTGAGCATTTTGAAGACATGATTCACCATAGTGGAAGAGATGGTCCACAAATAGTACGATTGCAATGCTGCCAAAACTCTTGAAAGTTTTTTTTAGTGCCTATTTATTGCCTACAACAAGGTTCCTGAGCAATATCGGGGAAACAGGCTGGCACACAAGGAAATAACGTGAGCACAAAACTATGGGGAATTAAGGTCCTGACGGAGATGTATAGGAACACTTTTGATGGGGCTGTAAATTTCCTGCTGTATGGCGGTGATTATTGTAACCAAGATCAACATTAACCCAAAATCGACCAAGGATTCCGAATCTGGTGATGGATGGATTGATTGATTGATTGAATTGAACTTGCAAAGTAACAGCAAGAATTCTAGATTCGGCACTATGGTTGGAATGCAGGTAGTACATGATGACATACTGCTTGCAGTCTGTTGTGCTGCATTGCCACTGCCATGCCGCACGACTTTCAAAATAGTACTGGCTGGCGTTGGCCTTGGAGATTTAGAATCACTTTCAGTTGCTGACTAAGCACCTATCAACTATGTTGAGAACCTGGTAATCCTGATCAATGCTTCCGAACTGTGAGAGAAGTCTTAGATTGCAAATATCTCTGCCCAGGCTTTGTTGAATGTAGCCCATCTTTGTTTTCAAAGCCAAATTTAAACAAAGGCATTAAGCTTTCCACGGGCCCTACTGGATCGCTCATTTACTTTGTGTTGCAGGCGTCCTTGGAGAGGAGAGGTTGTACCTTGGGGGCCCTGTCAACCTCAACAAAGTAAACATCATTCATGGATGCAAATCACTGAGTGGGACAAAAGAAGTTGTGGAGGTTGGTGTCAGCATCGCAGCTCAGACTTTTGTAAGAGACAGTAGCCATCATGAGCTAACGTACTTGTGGCACGTTTGCCATCTTGAGGCAAACGGGACTTGAATCCTGTAGGCGATGAAGGTCATGCACAGATTTAGATTGTTGGTCTTCCATGATTCGCTGTGTTCTTCACTTACTGCTGATTTACAACACACCAATGATGGTCGATAAGCAGTAATTTGCATATTAAAGTTTTGTAATACAGAGATAGAAATTTTTCATGTGGAGCGGCATGACACTCATGACGCATATGGCACTCATTTGCAGTTATCCTCAGCCTGCGCATTTTGAGTTTCTTTGTCATGATTCCCAGCCAGGTTCTGGTGCATGGATGGGTAAGGGAACACACCTGCTACTGTGGTATCTGTTTGATTTGGTATTGGTGATTTGTTTGAATTCCAGATATTACATCACAATTAGGAATCAAGGTGTTGGCTATACCCCTCAAGTGTGTTGGAGCAGTGTCTTCAGCAAATTCGCGAGTTTTACTGAATTCTTGGCATCGAATTTGTTGCAGTAACAGGGCAAAGCCCCAGCACTACATTGGAATTGGTGCTGTTTGTCCATGGAGACATTGCCTCAGATTTGGCACTGAGTTGATGCCAATCCTTACCCTGACCTTGACAAAGCCCATGAACCATGCCCACCATTTTGAAACTCAGTAGTGAGTGTGTGGCAACCCAGCCAGCACACAGAACCCTCTCCATATCATTCCTAGAACAGCCAAATTGGGTCATCGACTTCCAGAACTGGTTAGTTAGCCAGCAAAGCGGAGGACTGACAGTCCACAAGCTGATCCACTGTATTGTCTGAGGATTGGTGTGTCTGCATTGAACAGGCAGCCTTGTGCCATTTCAATCTGGTTTGCTCCACATTGGGTCCTGGCTCTACTTTTGTTCCACACTAGATTTGCCCATGTTTTGGTGCGCACTGTGCTGATTACAAACATTTGCACATGCTCACCCTGCATGGCAATATGTAGCTTTCTTTGCTAACTTCATTTGGTTCTATCTGTATTCTATGGCAGGGTGTTTACTATGGAGGCGACCTCACACCTGCAGTGGAAACCATGGACGACAAGAGCACTATCCATGTGTTCATGGGCTATGCAGGTAAACGAGCATTCTCATCAAACAACTCGATGCAGAACATTGTTGTATTAAGGGTCCATACTAGAGCAACCTAGAATGCATTATACACCATCTTGTACAATGTCAAGCAGCTGATTTCTGCTTAAATGTGGCATTCAAGTCAATGTGATCCCCTTTCCTTCACACCATGTTTCATTGCATATGGGGGCAGATCCAATCTATAAAATTGATGTACAGGCTCCAATATTCATAAGGAACATGCAGGTTCTTCTTCCATGGGTGTATGATGAGCATATCAGTTGTTCAAGTTGAGGTAGCCTACTATATCTGGAGTATCGACCATCCACTATATTATCGACCATCTGCTATATCTGGGTATCTGGAGTACATTTCGATCTGTGTCCAAGTCGACAATATTGAACCCCCTCTGTGTGTGCTGACACGAGGTTTGGGACAGCTGTAGTGGGGACCACAAACATCATCCTGCCATATCGCAATTTCTTCATGTGCTTGAGTGAACCCATCTGCATTTTGACAAAACTGAATAGAAGGAGGCATGCTGGACATGGGATAAACAAATCCACTCAGGGTTGGCTTCATCCATTTATCCTATCGCATTTGCAGTGTAGTCCAATGATCAGAAAGTGACCTGAATAGCGACTTATTCGGGACCCTGGTTGGTGAAACCCACCCACAGTTAGAGGTTGTTGACTTTGGAGAGTAGGGCCCTGAGCATCATTGCAACCACCAAGAACATGTGGGAAGATAGGTGGATAGCAGCCCCCCTTTGCGCGATGCTGCTTGTTGGAACGTTGTTGTTGATACAAACTCAACTCCAAAGGTGGTTGACCACTGTAGCAATTCTAATACAATAACGAAAGCTTCATGGCAAATGCCAATTTTTGCACTGCATTCAACACCTAAGTGTCAAGCCTGAAACCCCAAATATGTGTTGTGGACGTTCCAGACATGATAGGTCATGCCATGGGCCTCAGCATGCACAATTATTAGTATCATCAACTGTTGCAGTTCGCCATGACCACATTTAGCACTGCTCAAAACCCCTAGCTGATTTTGTGCGTGCGGGCAGCTTGGAGCGAACATCAACTAGCCGCTGAGCTCCATGACAACTCTTGGTGGGTGCTGGCCGCCTCGAAAGATGTCATTCTGGGAGGGGTTACAGGTATGCAGAAGCACCTGCGACTCTGATGATGGGCAATCCAGGTTGTGCCAAGTTTCACAAGGCACATAGAGGCAGTTGCATCAGTTTTGCATTGAGTGAGTACCTCAGCATTGAGTGAGTACCTCCAGTTTTGTGCATGTATATAAATGACATTTGTGTATTGTCACTGTTCGCTTGACAACACACTTCGTTCAGCGCATAGTTGGAAACGTTGGCTCCCATCCATCACTGGTGAAAATAGCACCGAAAGCGCTCAGTGTCACTAGATTTTTTCCAGTGAACAACAGGTGAATAGGCAGCTAAACACTCCTGAATTGCACCATCTTTCACCAATTGAACATGGATTAATCTTCCAATACACAACTTTCAGAAATGTGCTCAATCGCTACCCATTGTAAAGTTGTCCTGGAAGTCCGAATTTCACCAGTGAGCCGTGCTTGTCACTGACCTTTGGCTCACATCCCTGTCATGGTGGACCTTCTGGAAGATGCAGCAAGTGGAGGCTGTGTTTGGGGTATGCATGCAGTTGCCAGGTGCCAGCTTTGGGAAGCAAAACTCAATGCGCTGTATTGTGTTCGACACAAGGCGGTGTTTAGCAGCATGGAACATTTGTGCTTACTGTGCATTTGCCGCTGTCCATTGCTAGTTGGGTCACTGTGCAAGGGGCACTGCACGCTTAACATGATGTTGAGCGTGCACTCACCCTTCCACCAAAAACTGTCCAAGATGAGTGCAGGGAAGTTCAGAACAAGGACAGGCAGCAGTCTGCGCGTGCACAAAACAGCCGATAGGTCTTTAGCATGAGTATTGCTGCATGGGCACTACTGCATGGGCATTACTGCATGGGTACTGCATGGGTATTACTTGGCCAAGGCCGTGCACCAGAGACAGCCATCATGCACCAAGGCGCTTCATCCTTGAACGTGCCAGCACAGTATATAACAGTTACTCGTGTGCCAGCAATGGCCTTTGTGCTATATTGTTCACAAGCATCACCAAGATTGGCCGCTTTTCTGTGAGACTGTTCACTCAGTTTCTCCCGGGGTGCTCTGGACACGCTCAGGGGTGGATCTCATGGACAAAGAATACTACAGCAACTACTGGAACGACGTTGTTCAGCTGAGCGGCCTCGAGCACAAGCTGTGACAGCAGCCAGAGACCAGGGCTGGTGTGTTTGGCGCACAGCACATTCTCAGGGAGGAAGACAGCCGCCAATGGGCACGACCTCAGCCTTGAATTGGGCCGCGCAAAGGTGTAACGAATTCGCATCACCACGCGATTGCTGCACGACTTTGGGAGCGTTTGCACATCTAGTGTCCATGGTTCGGAAATTGATTTTGCCTCCCTGTTTGTTGGGGTGGCGTTCCGCTGGCAGCTGATGTGGCGCTATGTTTTGTTCATGTGATTTTGAATTCAGCCATTGCCCGAGATGAGTGTTCTTCGGCGTTGACAAATAATAAGCTGGTTGCAGGAAGGGTCTTCCGACCGTGCGCCGTCCACTCGAGGTCGACTAAATTTGTAATTCGTCGTTTGAATTTCTTGCGGTTTGGGACCCCGCAATGGCGACCTCTTGAATGGCAAGTGTCGCCTGACCGAAGAAGGATCATCTTGGACAAGGCGATGCACAGAACGGGAGTTGGGCAGCTTAGGGTCTGCCTTTAGTGTGGAAATGCATTGGAATTCTCCCCACGCTGGCGGGATCATTCCTTGGCGTCCCGTTGTACAATTCTGGGAGGATGTAGAGTAACTCGGGAGGTGGAATGGGTCAGGGGATGAGGAACAGATCAGTTGGAAGCGCTGTGGGTCCAACCGGCAGTGTGACTTGGGGATCGTTAGATTGCATGGCCCACGATGGCACAGCGAACGCTGCCAACGCGGCTGCGAGGCGACGTTGAGGGAATAATTCCCCAACTGCCGGTGTTCTAGAATGTATGTGCAGTTTGGCGCCATTAAGACCACAAAAGAGAGTAGCGAGGCCGTGGCGTGGGAGACCGCATGCTGATGCAGCCCCACAGGATATGGTTGGCATGGAAAGTGGGAGACTTGGGTGCAATATTGCTGTCGATTCTGCGTGAGCGTTGAATCTGGTTTTAGTTCTGTGCTGGTGTCCTATTGCGATCGCCTGTGCACAGTTGTCAGGAGATGAAGTTTACGCTGTGAGAGCCATCGAGCGAGGGGACATATGATTTAGACATCAATGGAAGCCAACTCTTCCTTGTACTTGTACAGTGTTGTCGGTGCACGTGTAAGCAACTTTGGATTGAGCAGATGTTGTTGTCATGCTGACATGGCAGTACCTGGAGTTTGGCGTCAAATCTGCGCTCCTTGGCCCCCTTGACTGGGAGCAACAGGGGCGTTTAGTGGCACTGCGGGGTCTGACTCTGAGCAATTGTCCTTGAATTGCAAGTCATTGACAGACCACGTAGGTATGCAATTCTGCAGATGCCGGCAGTAGGTCATGGAAGGGACTGTATTGAGGGCAGCACTGGGGCGAATTGACACAAAGCCCGTCATATTGCCGATGCTGAGGTGGGTGCTCGTCCTACGAACTTTGTCCCTGAGAGGGAGAAGTCCAGACCCCGGAACTCCATGAATTACAATCTTGCAAACGAGCGCGACCAGCAAAGCCTAAAAAACGCCACACGCCAACAAAAAAAAGCCCACCACCACCCCCCACACCCCACACTGGCGAAAAAAGACCGCAGAGCGGTGCACAATGTACTGCCGGGTTTGGCGTCAGACGTTCTCGACTTTCCACCGCCGGCTGTGGCGATTTACTGAACGCTCCGGTCTGGGTACCTTATCACCAGCTTAATGACTCCACTCCGAACTCCTGAAGGTGAGCCGGGCCTTTTCCATGTCGACTGTTGAAGATGGGGCGGACCCAATGCCTTGATGCGTGGAGACAAGATGTGGTAGCCTTGAAGGCAAGCCGTGCCAATCTCGAGATGTTATGAGATAACGAGCCCGCTGATGCGCTAATGTGAGCTGCTGAAATAATGCATAATGCACTGCTGCACAATATGCACTAATATGGCCACGCCATTTTTGAAGGAATGCCAGATGGCTAGAGGACGTGCCGTCCCCTCTTTGATGATGTGCCAGATGAATGGCTGATGGACGTGCCATTCTGAACATCAATGATGAAGATTGATGACTTCCGAACGCTGTGGTGAACTGAGGCGTGTTGTGATGACCGGCGGTGCGCCGCGCGGAGCATGGGCGTGGGTGCGCCAGAAACCAGTTTCCGAGTACTTTAGGTGGCCGGAGTACAATGGGTGCGGCACCCGTGCGTTTTCCAGTCCTTACGGCGTTTAACTACTACGGATGCCAGACCACGTGCTGTGGCCCAGCACGGGGAACCGGCGGCCGGCATCACAATACGACTGGCGGGTGTGGTAGCATTTTGAGCGGCGTGTCAGATTCCGAACACTTATGAGATACCGGCGGTACGGTAGGCATGGCCGGACAACGCAGGCTAGTAGGTTAGCGGTTGGAGCCTGTAATTTGGGGCCGGGGTGCCGCACCGTGGGGCCCGGGTGCTGCACCCAAGGGCTGAGACGGGTTCGTAACCTAGGGTAACGCAGAGTAGTACACACGCTGGGACTGCTAGTACGTTAAGGCGAGGGCGGCGCACACGAGAACAATGTATTACGGTGCTGTGCAAGATTCGATGTGACCTTTTTGGGTACGAGTCAGACGGATACCATGTTGGCGCCGCACCCAGTGGCTGGACTATTTCCACCTGGCCGGTCTCCTGAACCCTCCCGGTCATGTTCCCCACACGACAACACATTACAACAAAGGTGTCCGTCACCAATAACTCCTCATACCCGAGGTCCCCGTACATAACAGCTTGCCCTTTCGCTTCGCCCACACTTCACTTCACTTTTCTCCCGTCACTGGACCCTGAATCAGCCCCTTTCCCGTACTGCCATCCACACCTCCCCTAGATCTCCCACAACACAACCGAACTCCACTCTCTATGGCAGGAGGGCGGGGTGCGAAACAAGATAGGAGGGGGACCGAGGGGGTGCCTAAATAGCCGCCCCTGCTCAGCCCCGCCAAAGCCCGCCAAGTCCAAGGGCGCCAAACTGACGGCACCTTGGAAACTACGTACCTTGACTGACCCAAGGTACTAGGAAGGGCCAGAAACCCGTTTGAATACAACTGCGACCGATTCGAATCTCGGCGCCGCCCACCCAACGTCGTCCTGGGTGGAAATATATTAACAAGATAGTTAAATGCATTTACGGATGAACAACTTTGCTTGTAACAACTCAAACTTGTTTCGGGCCCACACTCGTGTTTTCCTGCGCATATACGGGGATAATGCCCCGTTCGTTGGGTACATGCCGCACTGACTGTCGCCCATTGCGGGTGCATCTTCGCCATCGAGCTCGGCTCGATCGGGCGAGCGCCCATTCTGTGCGTGACTGGCTTGTTGCCGGGAGAATCGCCATTTGGACACCATTCCTACGGCGGTACAAGGCTCGACGCCACATTGGCCCCTCTCAGCTGAGTAACCAGGCGTCGCGAGGTTACCATGACAAGAGCATCCTTGTAATGTGGCGTTCTTGTCATGGTAACCTCGCGACGCCTGGTTACTCAGCTGAGAGGGGCCAATGTGGCGTCGAGCCTTGTACCGCCGTAGGAATGGCGTCCAAATGGCGATTCTCCCGGCAACAAGCCAGTCACGCACAGAATGGGCGCTCGCTCGATGGAGCCGAGCTCGATGGCGAAGATGCACCCACAATGGGCGACTGTCAGCGGGGCATGTATCCAACGAACGGGGCACTATCCCCGTGTATGCGCAGGAAAACACGAGTGTGGGCCAGAAAACAAGCGTGTTGTTCGATACAAGCAAAGCCGCGTGTCTCTATACATCCCTGCCGTCCTGGTGCGGCAGCCAGAAGATCCCGCATGACTTCAACTTGGATGTGTTCCCGTCAAAACTGCGCGCAGCACCGCCGGGGTGCGGCACCCTCGCTGTGACGTAAGGCAAGCTCCCACTTAAGTACTAGCCTACGTTACCCATGGTTCCTGCCACGCCGGATGCCTTATCCGTACCTCAATGTACGCACTCTGCCCCCCAACACTCTGGACTCGGCTACCCCGGCCTGCCCATCGTACCGCCAACATCTCCTGGAGCCTAAAACTTGACAAGCCGCTCAGAACGCTACCTCACCCATCAATCGTATCGCGGTGCCGGCCGACGGTTCCCTGTGCTGGGGTACGGCACGTGGTGCGGCACCCATAGTAGTTGGACGTCGTAAGGTACTGGGAAACGGACGGGTGCGGCACCCATAGCACCCTAGCCACCTAAAGTACTTGGAAGTTTAGCTTCTGGCGCACCCCCGCCCATGCTCCCACCGGCACGCTCCGTCGCCGGTCATCACAGCACGCCTCGGTTCATCAAGGTCCCCGGCATTCATCACTGAGGCCCAGAACTGCACGTGCATCAATCACACCATCAAGGGAAGGCACGGCACATCTTCAACAGTCGACATGGAAAACGCCCGGCTCATCTTCAGGAGCTCGGGGTCATTAAGTTGGGCTTTATGGGGTTCATTCCCTGCATGTTCAGGCCATCTCTATACCGTCTACTGAGTTCTCACGCAGATGTGATTGCAAAGTCATGCCAGTACTATTGACCATCAAACCATAACGAGACTTTTAATGACAAGGTACCCGGTTCGTTGGAGGGGTACCCAGAAAATCGCCTCATATAGCGTGACATTGTTACGGCTAGAACTGATTGAGTGTTATTAATAACTGAATGTATGAAAAGATGACGAAGCACTAGGAATTGCATTAAGGATGTTGATGAACGGACTGGGTATAAAGGACAGAACGTCTGTTGTCCTTTTGCCTCGGCTGTAAACCGTTGCCGTGGACTCGAGCGTACGATTCCCGTTCAGGGATCGCCACCCCTCGACCCTGCCCGCCTTCGTCAACATCCCTTGTAACGGCGACAAGGGATTTCCTTGTAAATCCCTTGCCCCTCTCGCACCACTGACTCCACACTCCCGCCACTGGCGCAGCTGCCCGGGCGGGCAGCGGCCCCCGTAGCGCCAACGCGCACTCATGCCCCCGCGCGCCTCCTGGCGCTGCCTCCCTTGCTCCCTCCCATCCCCCCTTCGCCGCCCATCGCCCTCTCCCTTCGTTCGCATCCCGCCCACCTCGCGCGGCCTTCGTGCGCCCGTGCTTCGACGGGCGCAGAGGTGCGGGGGGCGATCGAGAGGCGCGGAGGAGGCGCCGGGGGGAGGGCCGGATGATCGTGACCTGATCCGGATCTTGGCGGAGGCGGCGCGGGCTGGCCGTGGGCTGGGGCCGCAGGAGCTGGCCGACCTGGTGGCGAACTTCGGAGCGGGGGATGGCGGGGAACAGGACGGCGACGCGGAAGCGGGGAAGGAGAGGGAGGCCGAGGTGCGCCGGAGACTGTTTGAGACAACAAGGGGGGCATGTCAGGGCAGGGGAGAGGGGGCGGGCAGTGCCGAGGGGCTTTGTCTGGAATGGCCGCTGCCAATGCAGGTCGGATGAGGAAGGTTGATGTGGAAGTACTGGCGTGGGAAAGTGTGGTTCGTCGAGCAGCGCCCTGGCGACCTTCGTCTGCAGTTGGTTGGGGGAACTTGTGTGCGTGCGAACGATTGGAATGGGTGAAAGGGGGATTGCCAGCTGGAATGGGATCGGGAGGCCCTGAGGATTGGCTTCGGTCGCTTGGCCGAAGATCAATTGATGGCAAAGAGGATACCAGGCCCCAAATGGTCACCCCCCTCCAGAGCAGCAAGTTTCGAGACAATGATGTCCATCTCGTTGAGCGGGTGTGGAAGTTTGCAGCTCCAACAGGACAGCAAGAACCACAGGGCAGCACCTGTACCAATTGAACACGCACTCAAGGGGCCTCTTGCGAGCAGATGTGTACAACGTTCATGATTGGTCATTGGCCAGGCGGCACTAGATCGTGCCCGGGAAAAGCGTGCTCTGAATCTTCTGGATCGTGAGATCCAAATGTCTTGATGTGGGTTTCAACATTCGACTGCTCTTTGGTATGTGGTATGAAAAGTTGAAGACACGGCCAGGCGCTGCAGTGCATTGTTAAACTGTTTGCTAAGCTTGTGACTCAAGCATATGATGTGTGTTTGACTTCATGTTGCCCCACATGGAATGTGAGGAACATGAATTCAATGCTTTGAACCTCGCAGATGTGCAGTGTAGGATTTCTTCGACCTGCCACAAGCGGCCAAAGACGTTCTTTCAGAGGCGGGTGTGCTGGACGCTGTGCCTTGGGACGGCCGGCTTGCGGTGCCGCCCAGATTCGGGAAGTTTCTGGACGAGGAGGATGTGGATGTGTTGGAGCGCCTGCAGGAGCCCCCACCTGTCGATGAGGCTGAGGCAGAGGAGCTGAGGAAGGCGCAGATGCGGGCTGCAGAAAAGGTGCAATGTGTATGCATTTAATCTGTAGGTGTGTTGGTCACTTCGTCTTTGCATTTGCCAATGACAGTTACTGGACAAAAATTCCTGCGTCTGCAAGACAGTGATGTACTTTGCAGCATTCAACTCATGTTTGGGCACTTCCCATTATCATAGGTGCAGCGTATGCTGGAGGACGGGCCGTCGATCATGGACAAGGTGGAAGATGCCTATGGGGCAGCTGGTGGGTGAAATGTTCTTCTTGAGTCCAGATCTTGTGCATCGAATCTAAGAGACCTCGTTTAGGCCCAGTCTAGTGGGCCTTTTTTACCTTGATTCGTGTGAGGTGAAGCATGGCATCTGGAACTAGTGAAATTTGTACTGCTGTTGCCAATCAGATCGTGTTGTGTCCCCTTATGCGTTCTAGCATACTCTGAAAGTGTCCACAAATTTGACTCTCGTTCCCTGAATGGACCCAGTGTTGTCCACCTGCCACATAAGTGATCGACGGTCAGTTCCAGTTTAAAACAGGGAGAGAACAAGTCACACTATGGCCTAACCCTTGCTCAGGTGTGTGTTTGAGGGACTTTTTGCCAATAATGTAGAAGAAGCAGCTGCCCCAACTGCAGCATGTGTAGCTTGCCACACAAAGCAGCACAGAAGCAAGAAAACTTGCACTCAGGGAAGCAATGAGTGATTCTCAAAAGAATGCATTGATTTGCACAATGGACACAGACAGTGGTGGAATGTATAGATGTGTTTGAGTGGTGTTAGCTTTGTATGCAGTGCTCCATTGTCTGAATGCAGGCTGCCATCAGAATTGAACTGGACAATTATTGCCATCATAGTATGTCTATATAATCCAGACAGCAAAAAGAGGGCTGTTGATCAGCAAGGTGTTGTTTTGAAAGCTCGTTCTGCCATAATCTTGGCAAGCCAGTGGGCAGTGGGTTCATGTGTTACAAACCATCCATGTGCACCTCAGGACACTGAAAGGGCTATCTAGCAATAGACCTCATTCTGAACATATGGATGTTGACTCTCTATTAGGCAGACATCAAGACCGAAAATTCTCATTTCCCCAGTGCTGCAGACTGACATGCACTGGTTGAAGCCCTGGACCATCCAGAACCAATAATACAGCTCAGCAACAGTTATGTGACAATTGCATGTTACAGCTTGCTGCTGAACAACTGCCACTGATGTTGTTGCTGTTGTTGCCATAGAAACAAAGTGCTGTTGGCATGCCGTTGCCGGATTGTTGGATGTGATGTGTGTTGGAAACGAGTTGTGCAATAGAATGCCATGGCCAAGTGACAGAACTGTATTGGCTGTACTGGCCAGTGGACGATGAAGAGGTGGATGAAGATGTGGTTGTGTCCGACATCAACAACCTTGGCGAAGAAGAGGACGAAGGTTATGGTGACTCACCTGATGACGACCTTGAAGGGCTTTTCGATGTGGAGGCCATGGAGAGGGGGATGGCCACCCTGGCAGCTGGTGAGCAGCTGCCCGATGTCAAGCAGTATGCCTGTGAGCCAGAAGATGCCCAATCCTTCAAGAAGTGCGTTGGTGGGTGTGCCTTCCCTGCTGCTGCTTCTGCCAATGATTTACCGCAATACAATGAAGACGAGCTATATGTGTGCTTCCATGTCCTTCATATTCTATTTCTGGTATATAAGAAGATAAATGAACAATTGTTGAGTCTAGTGTTGTGTTGATTGCTGAGTGTAAAGAACTTGTTTTGCCATTTGTCAGCGTATTGAGTTGGACAGAAACACGTATAAAAAGGACACCTATCATACATTGGGTAAACTCCCTGTTGAGCAAGAATTGTGTGAGGCTCGTTTATTATCTGTATAAGGCAGTCAAGGAGTCTGGGAGTGGACCAAAACAGCAGGTATCATGCACTGCTGCCATGATCCTGGCATACTCTGTGGAATGGCCACCTGAAACCTTTCAGTATCCATGGTTGCAGTGTCGATCAGAGAGTTGATTGTGATCTGTCAGTGCCTGCTGGTATGATTGCACCTCCCATCTGGAATGTTTTGTTTGACTTGAACAAAGCATATTGTTGCACTTTGCAAATGGGAATATTGCATACAACAGAAGCATTTGCATCAGGTCGTTTTGCAAGTCTTTATTCTGGCTGTTCATATATGTCACGTCTTAATAATCCAGATTCCACCCACGTCCTGGTATAACAGACGTGTGCCATCTAACCTCATGAGAAAGCACAAGGCAATATGAAGCTCAAAGGATTGCTTCTTTGAAGAGGAATGTGCAAGAAGTATGTCTAAGAAGAGGAGTGTATTCATTTGCATGCTGTTGTGTGTTTTGCGATGCCATTCACTTAGTTTCAACAGGAAACAGCATCATGCCCTTGATATATGCTTGTAGATTTCCCTTGTGTCCATGGGCCCAGCATTGTCTTGACCTGTTCTTTGCTACAGTGAATCTTTACTGACAATTTATCCACCAGGGCTCCATGTTTTGAAAGCAGAGTATACCATGGCCCAGAACCCCTGGCCCTCAACATGCCACCCCAATAGAAATTCCAAACCGACCACAACCTGGGCATACGTTGAAGTGTACTTTGGAGATCGAATGCATGTCATACTTTGGAGCACCGTTGTGAGAGTAGATTGGGCCCTTTGATGCTTTTCACCACTGTGAGAGCCACCGAATGTAAGATTGAAACCAAAGCAAGGCGCATACAAGCTATCAGCGAACATTTGCATGGTTGGTGTCTGTATCCCTATGGAAGTTTTGATGTTGTTTGTTGGCTTCACCACATTTGTGCAATGATGCCCCATCAGCCAGAACCCTGGCCTCCCAGAAAAATGTAAGGTCTCAAAAGGGCACATCCTTGGTCATGTGTGTTCACTAATGCAAGTCTTGCAACCTGTATACGAAGGACTGGGGTCTTGAGACAGCACGCCAACCAAAGACCTTCTTGCCTGTGACCACTTGCGGTGGTTGCAAGGGTTCATCTTCTTGGAACTAGGGCTTTGCCATGGGCTTGGTCAATTGTGCCACTCCCTGTTTCCTTCCCTGCCCACAGGACGTTTCTGTCCTCTGTTCATGTCAAGTACAATTCCCATTGTCAGTGAAATCCCTGGACATCGATTCAGAATGAATTTGACGATGGAAGCTGCTGTGTGTCCAGGCGGATAGAGAAAATGGTCGACTGGTATGAGGACCAATTTCGGCCCAAGGCGGATCGGAAGTTGACTCTGGAGGAGGCCAGAGAGCTGAGCTCACATTGGGAGCCCATTGACTCAGACCCAATCACATTCGATGAGATTGAGGAGTCAATGTAAGCCAGTTTCTTGATGAAATAAAAAGGCACTAGCCCATGTCGCTGCATGCAATGCGTGCCTATTAGTCATATGGTGAAGAAAATGTGCCGTGCAATGTGCACTGGACCATTGGCAGGGGTACGTGTACTTCTGTTGTGTGGTTGTTGTGGATTTGCATGCTTGAACACCCTTTTGCCTTTGCAGCACAGTGTAGAATCCCAACGAGGATAAATGACTGCAAGCGGTCTAGAGGTCCTTGTCGTCCATTGATTTAGGCGTCAGAGGGTAAGAAAAAGATAAATGGGGGGGTGTTGCCTGGTGGCATCCATATCTTCTGTTTATATCAACTCGAGTTTCTGTGTCTGTCGTCTTTGCCTTTCTTTCCCCTGTTTATATTTCGCCCTAGGTTCTTGTGATGCATCTGGCACCCTGTCAATGTGAAATTGTCTGTTGAACATGTTCTGTGACATGTTATCTGTATGCATTGCGTTGTGTCTATCTGAACTATCTGGTGCCTTTAGCCTGAGAGAGCTGTGACGCTTGCTCACATGGCAGTCGAATGGCAGCTTCCCAAACTGACACAATATAGTGAATGTGACATTTTCTGCAGTGCCAAAGCAGAATGTGGTTGGTGAAGTGGTGTGCATGGTGTTGCTTCGCCTTAAACCCATGTTATGCACTGGTTGTTGGAGAGGGCCAGTGCTGGCTTTCTCTAGATCTTTCGCGTACAAAATATCTAAACCGTATCTGTGTGGTGCAGCCCGCCTCCAGACTGGCCAGATTGGCAGGAGAGGCACTTCCGGCGTGTGCAGTGGATGCTGTACCTTTTGAGGCTTGCACACGTCAATAGGGGCCTGACAGTGCCCGGTGAGAGGCTGCATGAGTCGGGGCTCATAAAGGACGACGTAGAGTTTCGGAGTAGGGAGCTCGGGATCATTTCAGGTAGCCGGAAAGTGTCAATGACTCTAGCACAACTGTCAGCAACAGTCTGAACTGAACGTTGTCACAGAAGGCGCATTGTACACTTTCAAGCACGTAAATGACGTGGCACTGACTTGCTTTTTTTCTTTCCCCTGAAAGGGAGCTTGTCATGTGCATCATTTCTTTGGCTGATGAGCAGTGGGTGGCCAGGGAGGTGTTCTGATATGGTGGCTTTGGTGTTGATGAGTTTGGCTCACCCGCGAGCTGGGTGCATGGACTGCTAGGGCACTGGACCTGGATCCATGAAAGCTCCCCAACTGAGTTAGTCTTGTTGAGATGATAGGTTGAGTTCCAGTGATTTGTTCACATGTGTTGTGCTTCCTTGTGTACGGATCTGTTGCATTCTAAGTAATATCACAGGGAAACTAGCATGGTTGGAATGCTGTGGGTTTTGGGGCAGAAAATTACAGTGCCAAAATGTTGCCAGAACGATAGCTGCATCTGTCAGCCACCTGCTGTTCAGGAGAGTGCCTTTGAGCCACCTTTTAGCCGTTTGATGAATTCCTGAACATTGGTTGTAGATCCATCCCAACAATAAAAAAGTTTGGCCTTGTGCCATCCTACCAACAAATGGAGTGGACTCCAAGGCACTTCTGCCATTGTTGTCAGGCTATGATGCTTGGATGAAAATCATGCGCAACCTGCAAGACAATGGTGCAGTATCAGAGCTTGCCAACATTTGGGCCAAGATGAATCCTCCCAAAGAGGGCGCTGCTGAGGGGACGCCTTGCAGCTGGCACATAGTGGTGGACCACTATATCAATTTGCCCCTACCGGACTGGTATCTGCAGGAAATGACAAAGGTGAGTGCAAATGTTGTGCAGTTGCTGTTGTCAGTTGTCCCAACTTCGATCTTTGGCAGATTAATTTCCATGGTTCTTCGCCTTTCTCCTGGTACCTTCATGTGGCTTTTCAGAGTACGTTCTTGTGGGGAGTTTGCTGTGAGCTGGCTTCCTGGTTGCCATAGCTTTCTGTGCAATTACCGTTCCATCGACTGAATGAATTTGGAATTGAATAGCTGAATAGGTTTTGTGAATTGGATGGATGAGTTGGCTAAATTCATGACTGAAGGTGAATGAGGAGCTGGACGCTGCCAATGAAGAAGAGGAACAGGACGAGGATGAGCCTCTTGATGACTGGGGCGACCTTTTTAGCAATGTGGAGCTGCCCAAGGGTGGTTTTGAGGAGCTGGAAGAGATGGCCGACTACCGCAACGACATCGCCTTGATGGTGAAGGAGGCTGAGAAGAGGCGGTGGCAGGAGGAGAGGGTGGCTGCAGAGGAGGCGAAGCAGAAGAGAAGGGGTGCGGAGGAGGCTAGGGGTGGCTCACCGCCTGGCTCGACCTCTGATAGGGACAGAGAGGGTGGTGAAAGTGGGCCGTTTTGGATGGAAGACGGGGCAGGGGAGGCGTACCTGTCTGGAGACGTCCTGACCCTCAATTGCACCATCATGTACGAAATCGACATCGAGGCTGGGCAGGTAGGCCTGCTGTCATTGTTGCTGTTCAGAACTTGACGGTGATCCTAATCATGGCGCATGTGATTTTCTGGCAGCAGTTTTCTTCTGTTTCAAAAGACCATCGACAAGTTGCAGTGCCAGGGTTTGAGTCTCTAGCATCGTTGGCATTCATTTGCAATGGACATCGCCTTCATTACAGCGATAATCTATTGAGGCAGCAATTGTTGCAGACTGTGCCCCAATGATCTATTGCGGCAGCAATGGTTGCAGACTGTGCCCCTTAAACTAGAAGTCCATCTTGTTTGCCCACTGCTGCTGTGGCAGTGTCCCTGAGACCAAGGTGCGATGATGTTGTACAGATCTGGAGAATGAAGTTTGGATGGGCGGCCGCATTGGGGAACATCAAGTCAGCTGAGGATGCATTGATGTTGTTCAGGAAAGCTGCAGGCTCAGAACATGAAGGGGAAGGCAGGGACTATAGCGACTGGGGCCACTTACGGGTCAATGTTTAGCGTACATGCCCCTCCCTCAAACGAGTCTCCTGGTCTCGTACCACTCCTGACTGCGAGGTGCAAGTGAAATGCTGGAATTCAGTTGTAAAAGTGGCGTGTGCAGGGATGGATCAATGGCAGGTGAGCATGGCAGGTGACGGTCAGGCTTCTGCGTTTCAGGTCCTGAAACGTACAACCTGTACGAGACCCCTAAAGCCTCGTCACTGGGTGCCAACGCATTCTTGGCAACTTCCCGTTGATACGGCACGGATCCCGCCACCTCTGTCAGTGGTGTGTGCACTGCAGCAATACGTGTATGCATTGCACGTCAAAGGCTGACACCTTGATTCCATGGTGCTTCTGGCGCAAGAATGACGACAGCAGCTGTGCCTGTGCGAACAATTTGACACCGATACCTTGTTGTTGCCTCATGGTGCATTGAGCACCTTTGAACTGGTCATCCTTCTAGGCTGGTTAGAAATAGATTAGCATCAGGCGGGACTTTAAGCGAACATGGCTTGTCCATTTACTGGCCAAAATGCTTGAGCATGCGCCATGTGCATCAGTGCACATCATGACATCAGTGAATTAGCATCAATGAGTTCTTTAGCAACAATTAACAACAAGTATTTGCCCGGGGGAAATAAGGAGTTGATGGCTGCCTCCTCGCCTTGATATGTAAGAGTTCTTGGTGGTGATGATTATTTACGTGAAACGGCCGGCTGCTCCCGCTTTTTAGGGCAATCAGCCGCACTCACACTGGAAGGCCCAATCAAATCCCATTAGTCACAAACACACTAGTGTACAAGGAGAGAAATCTGGAACTCGGGCATGACAGTTTTGCCTTTTCGGTCTGCGTGTCCCCAATGCTGATATGTGAAGGTTGTTGGTGTGGGGCACCTGCCCTCTTGTAAGCCGCAGGCCAGCCTCACCGGGCACCTAGGTCCTTACATGGGCCTAGGCGGGACCACCCTAGCCTACTTCCATATCATATACTTCCTCCGTCCCATATAAAATGTCCTCTATGACTTTGGCGCATAACTTCTCCAATACATATTTCTTTCTTTGCAATGAAAATTTGCCCAAAGCTTTGCCTATGTCTTGGGAGAATACAATCAAAATTTCACGTCAATCCATTAAGTATTGAGGAATTGGCAGTACTTTATAACAAGAGTCCTCCGGCAAGAAAACCACCGGTTTTTCAGCGATTCCGCGAAAACGGCCATTTTCCGCGATGGTGAAGACCACGCCTTCGCGGCAGCAGAACAAAGCCGCCCGTACAGAATTTTCCACGCCGCTCAGGCTGAAGGTGGGGGCGGTCCTTATGAAGCGGCAAGGCAACAGAAAACGGTTTCTGAGTGGCTTGATCGCCAAACTCGCCGAACTCGCCGAGAGTTTTGGCTGTGATTCGAGGTCAATTCAGCGAATCGGGGCAGTGATGCAGGCCCAGATCTCCAAGCCCGGAGTCTTGGATCTTCATCGTCGTCATCGAGGTAACTGTGGGAGGCCTCCCAAGATTGGCAAGGAGGTGCTAGAGAAAGTGGCGGCCATCACCCCCACCAAACGGTGGATAATTAGGGCAATGGCTGCTAAGATGGAGATTGCAAAATCGACATTGTTTCGACACTTGAAGGGGATGGCGCAAGGCGAGCTGCTAGGAGGATAAAACCATGTCTCCTTGAAGAGCAGAGAGTCGCTAGGTTGCGTTGGATTCTGGCCCACACGCGCAAAGTGGGCCGCAAGTGGGAGTTTTTATACTTTGCGAACACAATGTATGGGGATGAAAAGTGGTTTTATTTGATGAAAGATGCTCAGAAAGTATGGGTCCAGCCTGAGTAAGAGCGTCTAAGGGCTCCCAAAGCATAGAGCAAGAGTTTTATAAAGAAAGTGATGTTTTCGGCTGTTGTTGGCTGCCCCCACAAAAGGCCGAACAGGACCAATTTCAATGGATTGATAGGGATCTGGCCATTCGTGAGGGAGGGTTTTGCGGTGTGATCAAGCAAACATAGAACTGCTGGGGAGGCAGAGTTGAAGCTGGTTTCAGTGGATGGGGATGCTTGGAGGGACATGATGGTGGAAAAATTCTTTCCTGCCATCAGAGATGCATATAAACATTTGAAGAAACATACTGTGATCCAATTCGATGGGGCCAAGCCACATACCAAATCGTCGATTCAAGCATCGATTGAGGTGGAATGCTCCAAGGAAGGTTACCACATAACCTTGGAGCGGTAGCCTGCCCAAAGTCCAAACTTCAGCGTCTTGGATCTTGTTTTTTTTTCACTCGTTGCAGGTCCATGCATCAGAAATCAAGGATGGCGGAAATCTGCAAGCCATCATTGACGCCGTGACATCAGCGTTCTCCAGCCACGATCCAAACACGCTGGAGCATGTTTGGCAAGGGCTATTCCACGTGTTTGATGCTGCCCTCCACCACAATGGTGGGAACGACTTTGGCTTGCCACACGCGAGGACGGGAGCCGCCCAGATGCGTGGAGATCTCCCATGGACGTGGAATATGAATGTGCATTTTTTGGGCCGGGCAAGGGGTATTTTGGAGGTTGCTCAAAGAGGTCAGGGCTGATTGTTTTCCTTGAAAATTGATAGTTAAGGGTTTTGGGACCCAATCTTTCTGATTCTGATATTGTTTTGTACTTTTGAGGTAGTCCTTGTAAGGAATTTTGTCTTTAAAATAGAGGACAATTAATATGGGATGGAGGAAATAGTATTCTAGTATAGTATAGTTCAATATCATATAGTAGTAACCTCCTCCTGATTTGGGTATCATTACCGTGTCATGGGCAGGGTGTCCCCCACACCAGGAAACCATGGCAAGGCATCCCCCACACCAGGCTTGTGCGTAATATTTGTCCCCTCAGGTAGGAGGGACATCCCCGTCCCGGTGCGTACATATGGAAGTAGACGCATGCTGGCCGGAAAGCCTTTCGTATGTGGGAACTAGTGTGTAGCATCACATGCCTAGTTACTTCCATGCGTGATGTACAAAAGACATATATTGAAGAGAAAGAATGTTGTTACATAAAAAACATTCTTGCTTACAACTCTCATTAAAACTTTTCTTTTAACTTATCAGCTGGAAAGTTCATCACTAATCTATATTGTGCATTTTTTTCTAGTCCATGGCCATCGTGGCTTGTGTCCTGTCAAGATCGGCTTAGGACATGCAGGAATTTCCATGCATGTCCTCCCACACGGCCACCACGGCCCGTGTGCCTGCGGCCTCTACCCCTCTAGGCATACTCTGGGTCTCTGCCTCTGCCTTAACCCCGGCCTATGGAATGCACCAACGGCCCATTGAGCTATATTCTCTTGCCATTGGTGATGGCAATTGCAATGGATATCGCAGTCATGTGACTTAACTGTGAGTGGGCCCGATTACCCTAGAAATTGGTGTTCTTCTGGCCCCATTGCAAAAGTGCTCATCACAATACACAAGAATAAACATACTCACATTCAACATTTGCGTTTTGTACAACGACCAGTTTGCACATTAGCAATAGAAGTTCTGTCATTTTCAAATGCTTGAACAAGTTCTTGTGCGTTGGCAACTGATTTTGCTGATTCCCTATTGTTATACTCATGGCCGTAGCCAAACCATTTAACCAGGTACTCAGCAGAGTCCTGTTGATGGTTATGCTTTTTCGTCCTTTTATCAAGAATGCGTTCTCCCTCATACTCTAGTTCCCCTTCGATCTCTATAGGGATTGGCGGTGGTTATACTCTGCCACTTGCTTTGTATAACTTAAGATACGATACATAGAATCCGGGATGTGCTTACTAATGTTGTCCAGAAGTTCTAGTCGATATGTGACAGAACCTATCCGGTCGAGGATGGTGGAGGGCCCAATCCACCTCAGTAGTGATTTACAAGTTCCAAAGTGCTTGAGGCTTATATGTTGTGTCAAAAGGAGGACATCATCTCCTTTATTGTAAGACGCATCCCTCCCATAGCGGTTAGCATACTTTCACTGCCAGTTCCATGCTTTTTCTAAGCAATCCTTGGCCTCTTTCAGTGCTGATTGGACATGGTGATCAAATCGTGTCAAAACTGGTAATCCCTTCACAAGGGGTGTATTAATATGCGTTAAGTGAGGTTGTTGAGCTCTATCAATGGCCACTGCCAAACCACAGGCATTCAAATTGCCATAGCCTTTTAACGGTTTCTGAATTTTCACACCAAGAGCTAAGGGACTCTTTGGGTGGTAACTATAGTTCAAATAGAATGGGGTCTCTTGGGTTGAACTGTTTAATCCTGCTACTTTCAGTAATAAGACCCTTTCGTAGCAAGTCGTCTACTTGCTCTTTGATCTCGTTCATTTCATTTGGATTGTACCAAAACGTTGGGCATTTTACTAGTTTTGTTCCCTCTTCTAAGGGCATGGTAAAGCGACCTCTCTATCGTGAGGGAGTCCTTTAGGCAGCTCATCGAGAAAGATGTTTATGTATTTCTCTAAAAGTGCAGAGATTTTCTCATAATCTACCATTGCAAATATATGTGTATGTGGTTTGGTCAATAGGCCTGCGGTCACCAAAGAGCCTGGTGCATCCCTCTTAAGGAGATCCTCAACCTTTTTCAAGACCAATTCATGGTGGTGTGCCTCCTTCTGGGTTGCGGTGGATTTAATCTCCAGATACACGATCTGAGTTGCTATCTCACAATCGTGAGCCTCCTACGCTTTGATGGCCACAATTGCCACCATCTTCCCGAGCAACTCCATCATTCCAAGAGTTTGAAGAAGCGCTGCCATTGTGCCCGGCTCCACGGGCTTGGCTGTGAGGGCCTCCCCTGCTTCTTCCATCGGTTGGTTCTACACCTCAGCCTACGCCCGACCAGCGGATCCGTCTGTTGTGTCCTCTCAAACTATGCCATCATCTTGCCCTCGTCTCCCATGGGATGCTACCATATCATGACATGGTGATCACTGACCTCCACAGCCAATCCGCCATCTTTGGCTACTGGTTTGGCCGCCTCAACAGCCGTGCCCTCACGGGCTCGAGGG